GCTTCAGTCACCGCGATTTATTTGTAAAACACTTTCAATTGACATATACCTGAACATACTTAAGTTTTAATTTTGCAGTCTAAAAGTATCATATGAGACATCATAAAATCCTGCCAACGGGCCTGTAATATATAAGATGCAGGTATATACAAGATTGCACAATAGATTTTGATCGATATTATTGACTTGCTTATCTCAAAGAAAGCAACCAAAGCATAGTGATAAAGTAAACCTAATAAGATCTTTAATATAACCCAAAAGGATCTTTTAAGATGGTTTTTGTTTTAAATTATAGATAAAAATTTTGAATTAAAGTTGATCATGAATGAAGACAATTATGAACGTATAAAAAACGAATTAGATATAATCGAATCAATTTATTCGGAGAGTTTTGTTAGGTCATCTGAAGGTTTTGGTGGCCAACTTTCTGCTCATGTTGAACTACCTAGTAGCTTAAAACTTTTATACTCTGCTTCAAACACAATCGGTTCTTCGTAAGTATGCTCAAATTAACACTTTATTGAAAACGACAAAATTACCTTTATCTATCAAATTATAATCTTTTTGATAAAAACTATGCCTTCAATACAATATAAAAAGCATAGTTATTACCAAAAGTAACTATTATTCAATAATAGACGCTTTTTAATAAATAAAATATGTCTTCATTAGTTTATTTATTTACTTAGTTATATTCCTCTACAATTTTATTACTTCAGGTTTTCTAGTTTTTATTTATTACTTTTAAATCTCAAAATTTTGAAAACATTTCTAAACTATTTTTGTCTTTATCTTTTCTTGTTTGTTTTTAACTTGCTTCAGGTTTAACTGTAATGAGTTGATGTGGGTAACATGACAGGGGCATTAAATTTGCCCTTTAATAAAAAATTTATTTTTTTTAATTATTTTTGATCATAATAGATGGAAATAAATTGTTGTAGTATGATGCAGATGAGAAAATGTTTTGTACAAAATGAAAATGTTTTGCTAAAGAGGTATGATTGGATTTAATAGAGAGTAAGGAAATTTCAGGAGTTATGTATCTGGAAAATACTTTGAGAATTATCTTTACTTCTAGTGACAAAAGTGACATGGCAGTTTCAGAAGGGAAAAAGTAGAGGCTAAAGTAAAAAATTTGGAAAGTTTGTTGATGGTGTAAGAAAGCTGAAGTTAAGAAATAAAGTGCAATTGGTTGTAAGTATAAGAGAAATGGCATTAAAAACCCTCCAGGCTATGCAAGTTTAAAACAATCTAGAGTTAAAATCTGCTTTTACTTTCAGTTTTTATATTTTTCAAAATCTGTAGTTCATTTGTTTTCAGAATTTTTTTAATGTAAATATAAACCTTCATCATTGTGCCTTATTCATCATTGTTCATGTTTTGGAATTATGAATCAAGAGAGAGTTGTACTAACTCTTAAAGTTTAAGTAACATTTCAATACTTCATCTCAACAATATATTTCAAAATATTGATAGCTTTTAATTAAATTTTTGTCTAAATAGAATGAAATATAATCAATGTTTTTTTGTGTGTGTATTTAGTGATGAATCTTTTGTTGTATTGGATATTGACTACTTACCTGCTATTGCTTTAAATTTTAAATTACCAGAAGGATATCCGACATTGTCACCTCCAGTTTACACTTTGTCTTGCAAATGGCTCACTAAAATACAGGTTAGTACAGAATATTGTGTAGGATTTGCACAATGTTCATAAAATAAATAGACTTAAAGAAAGACACAACTTAAATGCTGACCACATTTAGTATTAAGTTGTAGCATTTAAAACTTAATAATAACTGTCGCCTCACTTAATAGCAATCTAGTGAAATGCCATTTAACATGGCATTAATCCAATATATAGCAGCCTTCAGAATTAGGGTTGGCATTCAGCAATTCTGATCTTAAAGTGTTTGATATGGGAAAAAAATTTCCGACCTTGTTTCTATGTTTTATGATAACCCTTTTGAGTCAAATTAAGTTAAAAATTAGATGCAAATCTGGTGGTTAAGTACATTATTAGTTCCTTTTCTGAAGGTGTATTGTTTTAACAGTTCTTAAGGTTTTTTTCAAAATTTTAATTTTAAAAATAGCTAAGTTGGGGTATGATATATACAAATTTTAATCTGGGTTAAATCTAATACTTGATTATTAAGTCTTGATATTTAGTAACACGCAACTTTTTATGACCCTTACATATTTTTTCAGCTATTTTTTATCTGTTACAAAACATTTTTTGTAAAGATTTAGTAAAACTGTATTTAGAAAAAAAAAAAAAAAAAGAATTACAATTATTAAAATGAAAACATGTTTTAATGGTTGTGTTAACAGCACAATTTTACTATTTGTTTAAAGTGATTCATTTGAAGTTGAAAATTTTATTTTACTAGTAATTAAAGACTTAAAGTAATTTAAAAAAAATCTGGTCATAACAAAGCTTCCATATTTAAGTAAAAATGTTATTTTCGTTGTTATTATAATAAGTTAATCTCAATTAAGAACACCCAAGTTTACTATCTTACTGACAACTTTTAAGTCTTATAGGATTGCAAAATTCTTATACTATCTTATAGGATATCTTACAGGATTCGTTAGATTTTATTTGTTTTTTAAATTATATAGGATCATAAGAAATCCTGTGATAACCCTATAGAGTATCTTAAAGGATTCATAAGATTTTATTTGTTGTGCAAATCCTATAGGATCATAAGAAATCCTGTGATTAGCCTTTAGGGTATCTTAAAAGATTCGTAAAAAAAGATTTTTATTTTTGTGTTAGGTGCCTTACGGTTTTACCACAGAGCACCGCAGAGAAGCATTTGATAAGAAATTTATCCCTCCTTAACCGATGTAAAAACTTGTCCAGAGGTGGGTTTCGAACCCCAGAGTTCTAGAGTCTAAGCCAAACATGCGATCCACTGCGCTACACGACTGCATTGAATAGCTATGCATTTGCTAATGCAATACCAACTGATTAATCGGTATTTAATATTAAATGATTATCGATATATATATATATATATATATATATATATATATATATATATATATATATATATATATATATATATATATATATAGATATAGATATAGATATATATATATATATATATATATATATATATATATATATATATATATATATATATATATATATATATATATATATACATATATATATAATTGCTAAAGTTTGATACCTAAGTTTATCATTTATGGTAAAAAACAGCTCTTAAGAACTCTTTTTCTTTAAAAGTGACAAAAACAAGTAGACTTTATGTAAAAACCCTTAACTTTAAATAAGGAAACTAATTAAATTTTCTTTCTATTTGGCGTCCCTTGGAAATCTATGGCCTCGTTAAAATAAATGTTTGTCTAATATTAATTTGTTTACTTTTCTAATTGATAATGACAACTAACGATAATGAAAAGATATTTTTTAGTTTTTTTAAAAACCTACAACCTAAATTGTATCTAAAATATCAACCTTAAAATTTCCATCACAACATTATTTAAAATATAGTTTAAAAAAGGTAAGTTAATAAATTCTTTTTGGTATTAAATCTTTATTTTTAGCATTTGTACGATAGTACACTATTGGTATATCTATTTTTTTATATATATATATATCTATAATATTATAGATTTATATTATTATAATAACTGATATTAATTATAATAATACTAATTTTTGTGGTTTTTGTATGAATCTAAAGTTAGCTTAAAGCATCCTATATAAATTCTATGTTATTTTTGCAAGATCTTTAAAAATATTATCCTATAAGAATTCCTTCAAATCCTACAAGATCTTTAAAAAAGATTCTTGTAGGTCCTGCAGGGACTTGTGCAACTCATCCTATAGGATTCTTGTAGGATTTGTAAGATCAGTACAATTTGAATATATTTTATGGTATAAATTTTTTTTTAGTATTGTTTTTATGGCTATTTTATTTATGTTTCTTAAATACCCTAATATAAGAGAAATAAATAAAATAGCCATAAAAGCAATACTAAAAAAAAAATTTATACCATAAAAAATATTCAAATTGTATTTTTATTTCTAGTATAAAGTATGATATCAAATCAAGTCGATATTTTTACAGCAAAAATGTGACACAGTAGCGTCCAAGTATTTGTGGATGGGCTAAAAAAAACAACTGTATTTACTAATGTTTCATTTAAAATATTATATACCAATTAAAAGGTTATTATTTTTTGAACAAATATTGGTAATTTAATTAATTTATTTGATTTGATTTAAAAAATAACAATTTTGGATAAGTTTAAAATTTTCAGCAAAGTACTTATTTTCAAAAAGATTTGAATTTTTCAGTGATATTTGATCAAAAGTATATATTAAAACAAAATCATATTAGTATTTTGTAGGATATCCTTTACAATCGAGAACGTCTTGGCATCTACTAACTAAACTAAGTTGAACTAAGTTAGTGTTAACATCAATGGGAATTATGTCCCATATTTACTTGATTTTTCAATAAATCAGCATAATTTGTAGGCTTGATGCCATTAATGGTTAACATATTCCTTGCTTTCACCGCTTCTAGAATCTTTGATCATTGCTGACATTGATGCAAACTCTTTTTGAGTGTTTTGATTTTTCAAGGAAATTTTTTTTCCAGCTAAAAAGCCTTTTTTTTTTTTTTTTTTTCGAAAAACTTTTTTAAAAAAAGGAAAATTTTTCATGTTGGATGTCTTCCAAACATATTTGCATGATGTAAACAACAAGTTTAGTAGTAGAAATACTACAATTCATTCTATAAGAACGTTTCATTTGTTCATTTAAATATTTAAATTAACAGCTGTCAAACATGATTTTTTGTTGTTTAGTACCACAGGCTTTTTTTCTGACCATATATTATTTTATGTGGTCTTCCTGATTGCTTTCAAATCTTTATGGATCCAGTCAGTTCATATTTCTTCATAAATTTTCCATCAGCAAACCTACCAGCTCCATAAAGATGTGTTGTTTTTGAACCAATTATTTATTTTTTTTTAAACATCCTTACTTCCAATAAGGCTGCAAGCAACCACTATTAGGTTTGGAAGTTTCTGGAAAAGAAAAGATGAAGTTTATAAAGCAAGATAACAATTAACAGATGACTTAAAAGATTGCAAATTATATGAATCAGGAAAACAAGAAGAAGGGAGCAAAGTCCAAAGAATTAATGTTTGAGGAAAAAGACTAGATGAATAAGAATTTTTGTAGTACTTAGGAAAAGTCACAGTAAAATAATGAGGCTTGATTGAATGACGAGTAATATGAAAATTAATTTTTGTAGATGGTACAAGAGAGGCTAGCTTTTTAGAGTAGCCCTTATTATAGTAATTATAGATAAGAGAAAGGGAAGCAACATTACTAGGATGTGACAATGGTTGAAGGTTTGCTGCAAAAGCTAATTCCAATTATGTTTGCAATGCGCTTTTGCAGTTTGTCTAAAAGAGAAAGGACATCATACAAAAATCCCCTCCAGATATGGCAACATTATTCCAAACATTGATGGATTTGAGATTTATAGAGATAAAGTATAGAATCCTAAGTAAGAAAGTGGCTAACACTTTGAAAAGATCAAGAAAGATAACAAGAAACAAGAAAGATTACAAGTAAGATTTAATCCTAGAAGACAAAGGGTAGATGACTCATCAAGTACATTACCGTTCATAAATATAGGAAGATCTAGATTATTGCAATAGTTTATCTGAGTTAATGTTCACCAGAGGCCCATGCTGTAGCAGAAGTGACATCCTTTTCAAGCCTAAATGCCCCCTCCAAATAATCAGAGAGTGTTGGCTTCTTATCAAGACAAGAATAAATGGTAGTATCAGCAAACAATGCCACCTTAGATGTGAGAATTTCTGGAAGATAGTTAATATAAATTTAAAAAAGTATGGAGTCAAGGGTAGAACCTTGAGGAATCTCTGAAGTTACAGGAAATAAAGAAGACTGCAGTTTATTGAGAACTTATTTTGTAATACAATTGGTAAGGTAGGATTCAATAGTCATACAGATGTTACCTGATACACTGTAAGAAGAAAGTTTATGGAGAAGACCAGCATGCCAAAGTTTATCAAAGACTATAGAAATCTCAAGAACAATAACCTAAACCTCTCCAAATCTATCTAATGCACAATAAAACCTATTGGTTGTTACCATTAACAAATCCCCAGTAGAACCTGAAGATCGAAATCTATATTGATGATCAGAAAGTAAGTTATTAGATTCAAGATGAAATGATTTTGCTATCAACTTTTTCACTGGAGATGTTATACATTTCTTATGGCCAAGGACCTTAATCACTTATAAATTCAGCTTTTTACCACAAAGTATTTGTTTTCAATAAACTCACAGTTTTGTGGAAAAATTTAAAAAGCTTCAGTTTGTCCGCAAGATTTAAACATTTTTTTAAATCAATTTAAAAGCTCCAATTAAATAATAAATATTCATTCCAAAAATAATGTTAAACATGATAACCTTTAGCACATACTAATTAGCACATACAATAAAGTTCATATATTTGATATATATGAACTTTATTGTATGTGCTAAAATAATATATGGTCATAAAACACCAAATTTACAAAAAAAAAAAAAAAAACTTTCCTAAATCATATTGATTTTAAATGTTATTGATTTTAAATTTAATACTCAAAAGAATTTCAATTAACTTTCTACCCCCCTCCTCTCTCCATTCCCCCCCCCAAAAAAAAAAAAAAAAAAAAATATATATATATATATATATATATATATATATATATATATATATATATATATATATATATATATATAGTTAATATTTTAAATTAATTAATAAACTAATAAACCAGATCATCAAATGATTTGATATTTTGCAGACTTAGTTTTAACTAAGCAATTAGTTATGAGAGACTGTTCTCATATTCCTTAAATTTCAAAATTTTTAAAGGATTAAATAAGATAAAAAAGATAAAAAATAAAATCAACCAAAATCTATCTGTTAAATGAATTTAATAAGTACTTTGATCAAGAACTAAAAATTTCAGATTTGGCAAAGGTAACTTGAGAAACTTTGTTTTGAAGTTTATGCAAAAGTGAATGTAAACTGAGATAAACAGCTTTTTTTTTTTTTTTTATGGAGACCTTTTATGACTCTAAATTTTTTTTGTTTTTTTTTGTTTATATAACTTAATGGAACTAGTCCTTTTATTATTTTCATATAATGCTGAAGTGTCTGAAACAGCATAATGTAAACAAAAATGTTTGAAAACACTCATTACACCATTTGCATCATTTATATATGTTAAAATAACAACCATGGCACAGTGTTTAGAGTCTGCCTCAGAACCAAGAGGTAATAGTTTAAGTACTTCATTAGCATTTTAGGTGTTCCTATGTGAACAACTCATCTGGTTAATGACTGGTAGAATTAAATCTTTTATCCATAGATTTATGGTAGATTAGGTCTATAATTCTTTTGATTTAGAGCTCATTAGCAGGTATGCGAATCAGGTAAATTAGTGGAGTAGAAGATTATGACATTAGCTACCTTTTTTATTGAATACGATTTCCCCAGATTGGGTCTGATTTTAAAGCCATAAAAGTTTTGCATTGAATTAGTGTAGTTTTCAGTAAACTTACTTAGGCCTGATATTGGTTTTTTAGTACCTTTTTGGGTTTTAACAAGATTTTAAAGAGATGTTCCTAACTGTTTTTTGAACATGTTCAATAAAAGAGTATAATACCATACTCTTTATAGGGATCTGCTGCTTTGAAATCATTATAAGAAAATATATCTATTTTTTTATATATAAAGATATTTTTTATAATTCGATTGATTTGTAAAGATTTTTTAAACAGCAACATTTCTTACAGATATACTATTCAAAAAGTTTTTCTCATTTTTTTCGTGTTGTACCAACTTAACATTTTATGGTTTTAATAATATTTTATTGTTTTAAGATCTATTGAGAAAAATCCTTTTAATATATGAAATAGTAATAATACTTTTAATAAATAATAAAAAAAACTCTTTTCAAATTAGATTTTTTTTTTGTATTTTAAAAGTCATTTACATAAGTCATAAATTCTGTTATAGTTGATTATCCATATAAATAGCCCTACAACTTACCATTGTTAGGTATTAAAATTGTATCGTTTTAAGTCTGGGCATTTGCAAATTTTAATTTTAGGTTGATACGTTTTTTTTTTTTTAACTGTTATTATATCATTTTTACAGTTATTATTGGTTTTTAGCTGTCAAGACTTTGTGAAGCATTAGATAAATGTTGGACTTCAGAGGATGGTCAAGAAGTACTCTATACTTGGATGCAAGTCTTAACAAATGATGTTTGGAAGACAATTAATGTATCAAATGAACTGATTTTATCGGTGTCTAATTCCGCTCACACATCAAATTTAGATTGTCGCGTATTTCAAGAAACTGATAATTTAAACAATCTTGTGACTTATTTAATAGACTATAATTCTAAAGAAGCGCAGCAGAAATTTAATAACGCCTTTTTTGAATGCGCCTTATGCTTTTTAGAAAAACCTGGTTCAAAATGTGTATCTTTCTCAAAATGTAAACATATTTATTGTAGGGAATGTATAGAACAATATTTTAGCATTAAAATAAGAGATGGTTCTGTCAGAGGTCTTATATGTCCTCAAGAAAAATGTGAATCACAAGCTGATCCTAATTTTGTACGAACATTGGTATCGCCAGAGCTTTATGAAAAATATGATAGCTTACTGTTGCAGTCAACATTAGATTGTATGGATGAAATTGCGTATTGCCCCCGCAAGACTTGTAATGCAGTAGTATTGAAAGAACTAAATATGGGTCAATGTCCAGTGTGTCGTTTTGTTTTCTGTGTTTTATGTAAGCGTACATACCACGGCGTCAACAAATGCCCTGTTAATTCTGGTGAACTGAAAAAACTAAGAGAAGCTTATTTGAATGGTACAGCTGAAGAAAAAGAATATTTAGAAAAGCGGTATGGTAAGAAGCAGCTAAAACAGGCTGTTGAAGAACATTTTTCCGAAACCTGGTTAGAAAATAATTCTAAAAAATGTCCTAATTGTTCAACATATATCGAGAAAATTGATGGTTGCAATAAAATGAAGTGTTACAAATGTGAAACAAATTTTTGCTGGCTTTGTGGAAAAGGACTACCCGCGGCAAATCCATACGAACACTTTAACAGTCTTAAGACTGGATGTTTTAATCGCTTGTTTGAAGGAATAGATGTTGATAATTTAAGTGACGATAGTGATGATAACTTAGAATAATTGTTTAAAATAATTTTCTGTTAATAGAAGTTGGTGTTTTTTATATATGTGAAAAAAAATGTTTTTACATACATAAAATTTGTTTTAATTATTATCAGTAGTATTATAAATAGTATTAAAATTATAACGCAGATTTTTAAAATATAAATTGTGATTTGTTTTCGTAAACAAATACTTTGATGGATAAACCTTGTAAGACGAATTTTGAAGTTTTTGCGGAAGACATAAGAATTGTTTTATAAACAAACACTTTTTTATCTATCCAAATTAAAAAAAAAAAAATTCTATTTGTCAAACAAATCAAAATAGTTTTTGCCTCTTACGAAAATTCAGTATGGCACAGAAAAAGTTGCAACGAAAAAAATAACTTTTCTGTTGTCTCACTTTATTTGTACTTATTAATGAGAATTAATCGTAGCACTATTTAGAGCGGCATTTATTTTTTCGATTTAAGATTTTAATAGGGTAAAACACCATGTTTTCACACTTTTTGAGGACTTAGTTTGATATAAATATTAGTTTCTAACTCGTTTTTCTATAAAGTTTAAATCTTTGAGTCTTAGTCTATAAATTGAGATTTGGTTCTTACAACCCTCATAGAATTTGGTCCTTACAATCCTCATACGGGGGCTATAGCCCCGCAAGAGCCAAATGGTGACCACTAACAAGAAAAGTATGTTCGACATCTGGGAATTTTTACTTTTACAAGTATTCGCCACGATAAGTTTATTTTATTATTGATATAGATTTTAAGTCTAAATTATTGTTATAAGAAATCTCCGGTCACGGAATCTAAATAAGACATTAATAGAGTATATAAATGTTTTTGTGAAATTTTTTCATTAATTTAACAGAACAACAGCTGGGCCATAGAGCAGTCGCTTTTGTCTTTACCTGAATAAGGTGTTGCTTTAGACTTCCTTCTTTTGTTTGTATTTGCAAATTACGATTTAAATAGGGCTTCCATTCACTACTTTCTTTTTGACTTGGGTTTTGACTAGGCCATTTTAGTTGCGAAACGTATGTCGACTCTCTTCGCTTTTGCTCGTTCTTCCATTTTTTACAAATACTGATTGAAACTTTTACACAACTGTGCAAACTTAAGCTAAGAACAGTATAGAATAGTGCAATAACTACTTTTTGGTACATTTTATTCTGCAGCCGTTTTTATTCAAAACGCCTTTAGGGAGCATCCATAAACTACGTAGGCAGTAAAAGCACTGATTTAGGACCCCCCCCCCCCCTCCTTGTACGATCAAAAAAATTGTAACTGAAGTCAGAAAAAAAAAATTCTGATTTGTTACACACGTGAAATTCAATGTTTTTAAAAAAATAAAATCATGTTTAGGAGATATAGTCAAACCGCGTATGTACTTACTGTCTTCAACACCATCTTCCCCCCTCCTTGTACGTGTTTGTGGAAATGGATGGCCCCTAAGGTAAAAAAAATAAATTTCTACTTTTTTAATAAGCTAATTTAGATGTCTACAAACGTTATTAAATATATATTTCAAAGAGTTCTGAAAACATTCATAAAAATTATTTGTTTCAAAAAACGTTTTACAAAGAGTTTCTCTTTATAATTTTTTTTTAATTGCGTTTTTCTCGAAATACGCAATAAGCATATTAAGGCGTTTTGAAAAACGGCTGCAGTATTCTATTTAAAAATTTTTTAAGATCATACATATCGCCAAGTTCAAAATAATATAGGATCCATAGTAAAATAAAATTTAACTGTCCATGATTAACCTACAGCTTTTTTTGTCGAAGGAAGCCACCTATGATTGATCATGACAGGACTAATACTGGACTTTTTTTATTTAAATGCAAACACAGGCAAAGGAGACATCATGTTTGTTGAATTATCATAAAAAAAAGAATGGCAAACAATTTCTCAAGTGGAGGGTTTGCTTTGAGAAAACTTTGATTGGTAGATGTGCTGGCTTTCGTTTCCAATCGCCTGTTTTGTTCAAACAAAAAATCAAACCAATTACAAAGTCATCGCAGTTTTTTAAAATTCTGTATAAATATTTAAAATACTACATTAAGCAGAGACTACAAGGTGAAAAAATTGTTGCAAATTAATAATAAAAATATAGAACCCTATAAGGTTACAAAATGTTAAATTAATTAAAGTTGTTCAAAATTTAATTAAATATATAATTTGTCCCAAACTTATATTGTGTTTACAAAATGTAGTTATTACTTAGAGGTTTATCTATATAGATAAACCTCTCTCTCTATATATATATATATAAACTATATATAAACTTAACTGCTTCCGCGTTTTGCAGCCTCTTGATCTGGACCTTTGAAGGCAAAGTGGTTAAGGTGGCCATTTAATCTTGATTCTATTGATTACACAAAATTAACCTTACAAGAGAAACATGATAGGGATGAGCGTTTTTTAAAGGGTGTCAATTAAAGTGGCTTTGAAATTTCAACCCAAGTAGAACTAGGACTAAACCAAGTGAAAAACTGTTACTAAGTAGATTTCACTAAAACACAGGCAAATGGGCCATAGCTATGGCCGTTTTCCCTGCGTTCAAAGATCAAAGGGGTTTCTTTTGTAACTGGTAATTGTAATTTGTTTTATAACCCTCTGCCACCTTAACCACTTTGCCTTCAAAGGTCCAGATCAAAGGCTGCAAAACGCGGAAGCAGTTAGGGGGGATAAGCGTTAACATGAGATCAGCTAGTTTCTAAACAAGATGAAATTGAATGCGAGATTTATTTTTATCTGACCACACAGTTGCTGGTTTTTCAATATTTTTAGATATCAATCATTGATCAAAAGCGTTACAAAGGTAGGGTAGAGCGGGGCCAGTTGAGCATAGGGGCAAGTTGGGCAACTAAAATATCTCAAAAACTACTCATCCCATGGCAAAACATCTAATGGATAAAAGATAGGTATTTAGAATGGTAATAAAATGCGCATCAAATAGTTGTTGGACCGCGGTTTAGTAACATGCACAGACACTTTTTCAATTTTGGACCAAAAAAGTAAAAAAAAAATATTTTTGCTATTTTTCTCTTAGATGCTTAAAAAAACATTTATCTGGAATCACTTAAGGGTTTATTATTTACCCAATTATTTGGCTATTGATTATACTCATCTTTTTTTCCAAAAGCCTTATAGTTCTTTTTATAACCTAACTGATGTGTCGCCTTGTCTAGTCGGGGTAAGTTGAGCAGATTTGACAACGATTAATAAAACGGCTTTATCAGACGCGAAGATAAAATTTCGTTTGGTGAACATTTTAAGGTCCATTCACACTTTTAAATTAATCATTATAAAATACTCATAACAATTATAAGGTAATATCTTAAACCTTTTTTTTTTAACAAGTATTTATAATTTAAAATTATTTGATTTTTTATTAATTTTAAAATATTTTTACTTCAATATTACGTGGTCAATAAAATCTTTAAGCTGAAAAGTTCTTGAATAATTTTTTTAAATTAATTTTGTTTACTATGTTTATTATGATGATTATATGATAGTGTGCATATTTAAAAAACATATAACTTATAATTTATATTATATAAACATATTGATTATTTATACAATATATAAATAATTTGTATATATTATTTAATATTACTACACACACACACACACACACACACACACACACACACACACACACACACACACACACACACACACACACACACACACACACACACACACACACATATGCATATATATATATATATATATATATATATATATATATATATATATATATATATATATATATATATATATATATATATATATATATATATATATAATATATATATATATATATGTGTGTGTGTGTGTGTGTGTGTGTGTGTGTGTGTGTGTGTGTGTGTGTGTGTGTGTGTGTGTGTGTGTGTGTGTGTGTAGTAATATTAAATAATATATTTATATATTATTTAATATTACTACACAATATATTATAGGATGCGTAATTATAAAAGAAAAACTTTAAATGGTGCCTTCACAAGCCGACCGCTTAGTGACGCAGCAAGTTCTGTTTTAGAGAGAAAAAAAAGTGTTAGTGCAGCTGCTAAAGAATTTGACATCAAAAGAATGACATTAGCAAGATATATTTTAAAACTAAACTCTGGTGGTTACCCATCCATGGGTTATTCAAAACCTAGATTAATTTTTTCCCAAAAGCAAGAAAGCGCCTTAAAAAATTATTTATTACAAATGGCATCTATATTTTACGGCTATACTCCTAAAGATGTTCGATCTCTTGCTTATGAGTGTGCTCTTCAATACAAAATCAAAATACCAGATTCTTGGACAGTAAATAAGATGGCTGGTAAAGAGTGGATAACAATTTTTTTAAAAAGAAATCCTCAATTATCTATAAGGAAATCTAAAGCAACTAGCCTTGGTAGGGCAACATCATTTAATGCTGCAAATGTAAAAGTATTTTTTGATAAGCTAGATGAAGTTATGGATATATAAAAATTTAGTGCTTCACAAATATGGAACGTTGACGAAACTAGTGTATCTACAGTTGTAAAACCTAGTAAAATTGTGGCTGCAAAGGGCAAGAGAAATGTTGGTGCTATGACATCTAGGGAAAGAGGCACTAATGTCACAATGGTAACCGCTGTATCTGCCTCAGGAAATACAGTACCTTCAATGTTTGTGTTCCCTCGCAAAAATTACAAAGATTATTTTGTTAATAATGGTCCACCGGACTGTATTGGGGTAAGTAATGGAAGTGGCTGGGTTACAGATATTGAATTCAAAAATGTTATGCAGTATTTGATAAGGCATTTGAAGCCTTCAAATGAATATAAAATTCTGTTAATTTTGGACAATCACTCTTCAAAAAAAGTATCTATCAGTTGCACAAGATGCATGGCTGAGAAACAATCCTGGAAAAGCCATAACAATTCATGATATACCGAAAATTGTATCTGATTCATTGCCATTAGCTATAACATGTACTAACATTATAAAGGGTTTTCAAAAACCTGGTGTATACCTGTACAATGCAAACATTTTTGCTGATGATTTTTTCCCATCATTTGTCAAAAATCGTATAGAACCAGCAAATCTTGTTTCTGAGCTATCAAACGTTGCTCATTCTGAAGTATGTTTAACATAATCTTTAGGTCAATCTGTCAAAAGTAGTATTAATAAAGAGACAATGTTACTTATTCCTGAAACTCCTCAAGCATTTTCTCCAGAAACTGTGCGACCTTACCCAAAAGCAGCACGAAGAAAGATACATTTGAAAAGACGAAGAAAAAGGAAAGCTGCTATTCTAAGAGATACTCCAAAAAGAATTATATTAAAACAGCAGCAAACTAAGAAACCTAAAAAAGTTGAGAAACAAAAAAAATTATCTACTTGTCAATTCCTTTCAAATATTAATAAAGAGTGTGGTAATAAAGAGACTCAGTTACATAGTATATTTAAGAAACAAACAAACAAAAAAACTGAGAAGAAAGAAATTTTAAAGAAACCAAAAAAAGTTCTGCGAGTCAATCCTGCAGATCACGGTATGAAAGAGACTCTGCTGCTTAGTATATTAAAAAAAGTTAAAAACAATCAAACAAAAAAACTAAGATGAAAAAAAAATTAAAGACAAGTGCAGAGCACGATTATGCTTGTCTTGTATGTTGGGAAACTTATTCTGAAATTCTACCAGAAAAAAATTGGATCCAGTGTCAAGGTTGCAATCAATGGTCTCATTCAAAATGTGGTTCCCATTCTGGTCAAAATTATATTTGTATTAACTGCAAAATGGAAATTGAAGACTAACATAAAGTGTTTAGTTATTGTTTTATCATAATATTAACAAGTTTTAAAATGTTTTAAAAAAGTTGTGTTTAGTTTTAAGATTAAAAAGTTTTGTTTTTGTTTTTATTTTAGTATCAAAATTATTAGTTTTGATATTAATATCTTAAATAATTTGTTAAAATTGAAAGTATCTATTTAATTTATAAGGAAGTTTTGTTTTGGTTTTATAACAGTGTTAATAGTTGTCACTGAAATGCACTTATTTTTTTATTGCTCAACTTGCCCCACGCAATTGCTCAACTTACCCCGCTGGGGTGGGTTGAGCAGCCTAATAAACTTTAGACAATATTTTCTAAAAAAAATCGAAAAAAGTTTTTTTGTCTCAACCATTTTTTAGCAGATCAAATTATTTTTCTAGTAGTGAAAAAATTATATTAATCGGATGTACCGTTCAAGAGATCTGTTAGATTTAGTAAAAATTGCCCAACTAGTCCCACTCTATCCTACTCGTATAACATGGAGAAAGGGGAATTTAGGGGCCTTTTTAAAAATGTAAGGAGCTGTTTTTTTTATATGGAAAAATTGTTCGGACCTATTAGTACGGCGTTTCGTATAAATAATCATGTTTAATAATTTTAATTTGAATTTGATTTTATTTAGAATCAATAAATTTAAAATCAAGAATAGTTTAATTTTTTTTCACAAAGTTTAATATTACTGTAAATTAGTCAATCATTGATTATAAAGTATATTGAAGAAGAGATGCAACACCAAGCATCTCTATACTATCTAATGTGTAGGGTAAATTGTCGACGAGACAAGTTGTCTATCATGAAAGGAAACTTTTGAATAAGTTGAACGTGTGAGTGTCAATTGCTTCTTGTGGTAGCATATTCCAAAACGGTGTTACACGATTTGTAAAAAAGTGATGTCGCTTTTCGCAATCGCTAACAATTTGTCTGTGTAGCTGTTTATTATGACTTCTCCTGCTATATACACTGTTAGAGAACCTTTGAGGAACAAAAAAATTAACATTATCAATTTTATTCAGAATTTTAAACTGTTCAATAAGATCTCCTCTGGATCATCTCTTTTCCAATGTTGTCAATTTAAATATATTTAAGCGTTGCTCATATGGGAGATGTTTGATATAAGAAACTTTTGTTGCTCTGCGATGAACTCTTTTAAGCATATTAATCTCTTGTTTTAGGTGAGGAGACCATGCTTGAATAGCGAATTCTAAGTGTAAGTGCACATATGTGATGTAAAGCGTTTGCCAGAGATAAATGCTTCTGCTTCGGAATGCTTCTTTGAGTAGGCCCAATTTGTAATATGCAACTGAGACTGAAGACTCTACTACTACGACCGACATGCATTGTTTTGCATTTCTCCACATTAAACAGCATCAACCATTTGTGAGAACAGTTTATGGCATGATCAATGTCTTATTGTAAAGCTAGCATACCTTCATTCGATTTTATGATGTTCATAATTTTACAATCATCTGCGAAAAGCTTAAACTGCCTTGTGATGTTGTCCGGTAGATTGTTTATAAATAGTACGAAAACAAATAGGCTTCTTTGAGGGACACCACTTGTAACTTTTTTCTAATATAATGTGAAAATTTCAACAGTTGAATGAATATCAATTGAATGATTATCAGTTGAATAAACAATAGACAACAGCAAAATACGCTGTTGTCTATTGTTAAGCCAAGCAATTATCCACTTGAATGTTTTCTCCTTGATGCCATAAGCTTTCAATTTGTTCAATAGGCGATTGTGTGGGACTTTATAAAATGTTTTGCAAAATCAGTGTAAATCACATCGACTGGATACTTTTTGTTTGTGGCTTTTGTGTGGAAGTCGCGAGTTTCTAGGAGATTAGTCAAACAGCTTTTTCTATGAGTTACAGTGTTGCATTATTTTTTCATGTAATATGCTCTCAAATATTTTGCATGATATTAGTTGTGCATGGTATTGGATGTGAGAGAAACTGGCCTATATTTCAATGCTTATAGTTTGCTTTGTTTCTTGAAAAAGAGCGTGATGTTGGATTCCTCAAGAGGTCTGGAACAGTGCTGGTTGAGAAAAATTTCTTGAAAATTAACGTAAAGGGCAATGCAAAATCTTTTGCTTATTGTTTGAGTACACGTGGGTGAAAGTTATCAACATCGAAAGACTTAAATTCGTCTAGTTTTGCGAGTCAAACACGGTTATCATAGATTGAAAAGATATTCTCGTCTAATAAACATTTTTGTCAATTCGGGGTTCCGATTCCGGCACAGGTCCGTCTGGCTTGTTTTCAAATACTGATTGAAAGTAATTTTTCAGGGTTGTGCAAATAATTTGAAGATCCGTTGAAATTGTTCCATCAGTTGTTCCTATAGAGTTGAATACATATATTGAGCTGGCTTTGTTTTTGATATGAGCTTTTTAGGGTTGTTTTTATATAAATTAGGTAGGTTCTCTTCATAATCTAACACAGCTAATCTCAACGTTTTTGTTACATTTCTACATGCTTTTTTGTGATTGTCTCTGACCTGTCTATGTGTATGGCGATCAGAGGCGATATATTTATTCAAAAGTTTTTGTTTTGTTCTTATAGCTTTTAAAACTTTGCCCGTTATCCATGGTTCGCGTTTCTTCTTAAAGACACGGTAGTCGACGGAATGAATTCTTTTATTAGTTTTTCGTACACTTCTAGGAATAAATTGTAACATTTTTTAGCTGAGTAGTTTTCAAATAAACTATTCCAATCGGTCGAACTTAATTTTAGCGAGAATTTAGCGTAGTTGGCTCGGCTCCAGATGTATCGTTTTCGTTGCACGATTGGTGCCACATCTATCATGTCGTTCAGAACAAAATGACCCGTGATTAGAGCGTGAGATTGTCCCATTGGAGTATCCCCCAACGAGTCTTCGTCTTTTATTTTTATCAAGAGACCAGATCTCTTGATTGTCTGTTATTACTAGATAGAGAGTACTATTCGGCTCTGAAAATCTGTTGTTACAATATGTTTTGAAGGTGATCAATTGTGTGAGTAGGCATTCGTTTAAGCAATCTTGAAATCTCATGTCGCTTGGGCGTTCATTTAGCACGTGCCACGTGACAACGCTGTTGTCGCCATGCCGCCGCCAACCTCAATATGCTCATAAAATGTGTTGCTAAAATTAAAGTCACTATAGATTAGAATGAAATCGCACTCTAACCTTTGGGCGGCAGCTTTTGAAGCTTTGATAGATGCTATACAGTTTTTGAGAGCTTTGTCATTAAAGTCGTGTTGTACCAAGTTTCGGTAAAGAATAGAATGTGTGAAGTATTTTTAACGTCTAAGTTGTGTAAACGGGCTATGGCTTTGTCGGGTTTATTTTTATTTAACTAGGATGGATTGTGGGCCCAAAGCGGAGATTTACAGGAGACAAATTATTTTTATTTATTACAGGAAAGCTGGGTGTTTTTTGGTAATTTTTTTTAGGCGGACGAATTCTTTTGAGCGGTGCTTGTTGTAGCTGCTGAATTTCTTTGTCAATATTTGTTGAGAGCTGTTGCTGCTGAGGCAAACACATATTTTCTTATGCTGATTTGACTTTGTGACATCAATACAGCATATTTGACCGATTCTTTTGTGGATGACATTCCGAAACGGTTTGTCAAGAATCTCAGCATCTTTCAGTTCTTCGTTTTTCTTTTTTAGTCTAGAATGAGTTTCGTTGAACGCTTCTTGCTGAGCCGGAGTCCTGTCTTTCCGTGCAAAAACTCCGTTAAATTGTTGTAGTTGATGGCTATTGCAGTGATTTAAAACGGCGGTTTGTTCTCTTTCGTTTGCAAGAAAAACTTGAGTAATATTAGAGTTATGAACAGTTTGTTTCTTACTTGTGTTTAGGCGTCGTGCTTGTTTTATTGTGAAGTTATCAAACCTATAAGCCTTTATGAACTCTGTGACGGTTGTTTTGCCGTCTTTGTTCTCGGTTTTCGGTAGACCAATCAAAATAACATTCGCGGAACGATTCTGTCTGTCTTTGTTTTCGGCGTTGACAATGTTTATTATTTCGTTACTGTGTTTGACTGTTTCCGGTGCGTTTCATATGAGTTTCGAGACGTAGGTATGGAATTTCTTGTCTTATAGTTTCTTGTTAAGATAGTCAATTTGGGCAGTGAGTTTCGCCTCGGTTTCTTTTTTTAATTAAATTATCGGTGTGAGCGCAGAGATTTATGTTATGTTGAGCATTTCAGCTACGAGGTTTTTGTAATTTTCGTTGAATGTTTTGCTTGCGAATGTTGTTGCTATGGAGTCTTTTATCGCTGCGTTGACTATCGGTACGCAAGTTAGGTCGAGAGCGGCCGCAGCGGCCGCAGCGGCCGCTGTTGACGTGGGTTTGCCGGTCGGCGTGGAGTTCATTTTATGAACAATTTATAATAATTGATAATCATGATAATATAATAATTTATGAAAAAACATACATCATGATATAATATAATGTAATAAATTATTAAAATACGATAATTAATGACATAATATTAATAACAATAATAATAATAATAGCAATAATAATAATAATAACAATAATAATAATTACAAAAAGTAATAAAATAATTATAAAAGCGGAAACGAGATTAGATTGGAAATAGACAGTTATAGAATATAGTAAAACATTTATAGTATGAAAAGAGTAAATAAGATAGAATAAAAACTTGTTATTTATTATTAAACTATAGGCCTCACAAGGAATTAGTGCGAAAATAAATAAGAGAATCAAAAATCAATTAAGACTAGAAATTATATAAAAACTCAAAAACTAAAAGTCGAACAAAAAAGAATGAGAAAGTAAGATAAGATAAAATAAGAAAGTAAGGTTGTAAATATAGATAAACAGACAATATAAGTTATATAAATATATAATCCAAAAATAGAAAAAACAATTCAAAGCAAAGTAAAGAAACTGAATAAACTACAGTCGATATATAAAAAAAAAAGATCGAGTAACAAAATAAAATGAAAATAATTTAATTTGTTTCTTACGTTCCAAACGCGCCTTTATACTTCAAAGGCGGAAATCCTATCTTATACTTCAAAGGTGGAAGTCCTAATATAACCGCTTTCGGATT